CAGCCGCCCAGCGAGCCCACAGCCAGCCCACAGCCAGTCCCACAGCCAGCCCACAGCCAGTCCCACAGCCAGCCCACAGCCAGCCCCACAGCCAGCCCACAGCCAGCCGCCCAGCGAGCCCACAGCGAGCCCACAGCCAGCCCCACAGCCAGCCCCACAGCCAGCCCACAGCCAGCCCACAGCCAGCCCACAGCCAGCCCCACAGCGAGCCACAGCCAGCCCACAGCCAGCCCCACAGCCAGCCCCACAGCCAGCCCACAGCCAGCCCCACAGCCAGCCCCACAGCCAGCCCCACAGCCAGCCCACAGCCAGCCGCCCAGCCAGCCCACAGCGAGCCCACAGCCAGCCCCACAGCGAGCCCACAGCCAGCCCACAGCCAGCCCCACAGCGAGCCCACAGCCAGCCCCACAGCGAGCCCACAGCCAGCCCACAGCCAGTCCCACAGCCAGCCCACAGCCAGCCCCACAGCCAGCCCACAGCCAGCCCCACAGCCAGCCCACAGCCAGCCGCCCAGCGAGCCCACAGCCAGCCCACAGCCAGTCCCACAGCCAGCCCACAGCCAGTCCCACAGCCAGCCCACAGCCAGCCCCACAGCCAGCCCACAGCCAGCCGCCCAGCGAGCCCACAGCGAGCCCACAGCCAGCCCCACAGCCAGCCCCACAGCGAGCCCACAGCCAGCCCACAGCCAGCCCACAGCCAGCCCCACAGCGAGCCACAGCCAGCCCACAGCCAGCCCCACAGCCAGCCCACAGCCAGCCCCACAGCCAGCCCACAGCCAGCCGCCCAGCCAGCCCCACAGCCAGCCGCCCAGCCAGCCCCACAGCCAGCCCCACAGTGAGCTCACAGCCAGCCCACAGCCAGCCCCACAGTGAGCTCACAGCCAGCCCACAGCCAGCCCCACAGCGAGCCCCACAGTGAGCTCACAGCCAGCCCACAGCCAGCCCCACAGCCAGCCCCACAGCTAGCCCCACAGCGAACCGCCCAGCGAGCCCCACAACGAGCCCACAGCCAGCCGCCCAGCGAGCCCCACAGCGACCCCACAGCCATCCCCACAGCAAGCCCCACATCGAGCCCACAGCCAGACCCACAGCAAGCCCCACATCCAGCCCACAGCAAGCCCCACATCGAGCCCACAGCCTGCTGGGAGCCAAATCCCGTGAGAACTCAAGGGGAACTCAGGCAGCAGCATACGCCCTATTCCCAGCAGGAATAATCTTAAACCTGGAACCACCCTAAACCCAGATAGTCCTAAACCGGGAACGCCCTAAACCCGGATCCGCCCTGGTCCTTGAGCCAGGTCACCTACATGCAATGTCACTGCAAAATGTCCTATTTCCACGAGTCCTTCCACTAAGCAACATGGGGTACGCTGGCAAGGAAATTGTCATACCTACTTGGCTAATGGCTCCCAGCATCAGCCAGCCGCCCAGCGAGCCCACAGCCAGCCGCCCAGCGAGCCCACAGCCAGCCCACAGCCAGCCCACAGCCAGCCACACAGCCAGCCCACAGCCAGCAGACACGAGGAGCCAGCTGCAGGAGCTGGCCAGGGAGACTGCCCAGGAGGCCTGGTCGGGGACCGGAGCACACCTGCCCAGCACTGAGGAATCCTTACGGGCAGGAATACGGGCCATTCTGAGAACCCGATGTACACAAGATGGGCCAAGGCAGAGTCGGACGACAGCATGGACAGGATACTAGGAGAAGGCCCAAGTGCTCAGGGACATGGAGCCACGGCCGGCCCCCAGAGACTCCGAGGAGATAAGACTGGTCAGCACTGGGGGGTTCAGAGAGGATGCGAGCACAGGCAACTGTGAGCAGGCCTCCCACCCAGAGGCTGAGGAGGGCGCTGGAGGCTGCGGAGGCCCATGGGGAGAGGGCAGCAGAAGGACACGAGGAGGGGCTGAGGGAGGACACGGGGAGGGGGTGCGGGAGGACATGGGGGAGGGAAGGACATGGGGGGTGGAAGGACATAGGGGCGGAGCAGAAGAACATTGAAGGACATGGGGGAGGGCTGGTGGAAGGACATGGGGGAGGGGTGCGGGAGGACATGGGGGAGGGGCGGCTGGAGGATGGGGGAGGGGCGGCGGGAGCTCTGTCGGGGACAGAGTGAGGCTCCAGACAACCTGGGCACACTGAGGACCCTAAGGGATCCCTCGAAGGCCACTGACCAAGCCATGCTCAAGGCTGTTCCAGGCTAAGCTGCTGGGAAGTCTGACAGTGTGGCCCAAGGAGATCCCACGGAAGGAGGCATGAAGCCCAGAGGGACCTGAAGGAGGCCCGCAGCTCTGCAGTGACGTGGGTGGGAAGTGACAGGGAGCCGCTCGGAAGTCCTGGCAAGAGCCAGGGTCGGTTGTCGGCTGTGGAGGATGAACAGGGAGGACACAGGCAGACCAGCTTGTCGGAGAACAGTACTGCAAAGCTTCCCCCTGACAAAGCCTCGGGAGCAACCTGGGCAGGCGCACAGACGTGCCATCGGCAGCAGGAGCACCGAGTTCGAGTGCAGTGACCTCATCTCTAAGACGCTGACTCTCCCAGGTTAGATTCACAGCGAGGTCAGTACCTGTCCCTGTGAGGTATTGATCGACATCCACAACAGGCCATCCGGGAGACCCACGGGAACCAGAGTTGGTGGACCAGGCTTACCCTATCGGCTCTTCCCCCGGCGTTGTCGACGTCACACCAAGTGACTGTTACCTGTCAGCAGCCAGGGCAGGACTGATGGGAGGAGAGGGTGGAGGTGCAGACCCCGCCCGGAGTGTGTGCTTGTGCTGCTGAGGCAGCAGAACACACCTCATTGCTCACAAGAGGCCATGCGTTGACAGACATTTTATTTATCTCCATGAATGGAAAAAAATGATTTCAGTAAAATATGAGGAGCTACTGATTGTAAGATGACTTCAAAAGTATTTCAGTGCAGAGAAAGCACGCGTTTAAAACACGGAGATGGGTATCCTCAGTACTTCCCACGGTGCCTGTCTGGTGGAAACTGGTAGAGGTTTTTGTTTTGTTTTTTTGTTTGGTTTGGTTTGGTACAAGACATTAAACCCAGGGGCACCTGACCATTGAGCTATATCCCAGCCCTTTTTATATATTATTTAGAGACAGGGTCTTCTAAATTGCTGAGGGTCTCCCTAAATTGCTAAGGCTGGCTTTGAACTTCTGATGCTCCTGCCTCAGCCTCCAGAGCCTCTGGATCACAGGCGCGTACTACCGCTCCCAGCTAGAGGTCTTATCCTACACCCAGACACAGAGTGAGGAGGATCTGGCGATGTGCTTGACCCAAGCCCAGGCGGCGGCAGCCGTGTCTCCTGGAGACACCCAGCTCAGGTCCCCGTGGTCGGCTCAGGGGACACTGTCCTGACGTCGACGCAGGCTTCCATTCCCCCAGGCTTGGCTTTCCAGGAGGGTCAGGACTTGGAAGGTCCGGCCAGATCTGCCCTTCTAAGTACACCATGGCTTTATCCGTGGAATCCGAGGGGTTGCAAACCTGCCTCTCCCGGGTGCTCCGGGGCATCCCGGGACCACTGGGTGCTGTGTGAGGCTGCTCTTTTCCTCACCCTTTCTGAGCGCTGTTGCGTCCAACTCCAGGTCTGGGTGAGGAGGGCTGTCTGTGACCCAGAATTCCAGGCTGCATCAGATCGTCCCTTGGCAAGTGCTCAAAGATCCAATTAGTTTCTAAAGGACAGATCGTCTTGGGGGACTCGACTGATCCAATTCCACACTGAGCTGGAGGAGAACCGTCCTCCGGGACTCTTGATCGCAGCAGCGGTGTGTCGGGACAGCTTGGGCTGCCCTCATGGACAGGTCTGGCCTGCTTTCCGAGCTGCGGTGGTGGGGGGATGCAGACTGGCCAGGAGAACAGCAGAGCACACCCGCAGGTGCTGCGTCGGCCCGGACCTGACGGCGGCTTCCCTCTCGTTCTCACAGGGGTTTGCCAGCTCGTCAACAAGAGGGACGAGAGCACGGGCGAGGCCAGGCCTTTCAGCCGCAGCGACGAGCAGTTCCTCGAGGCCTTTGTCATCTTCTGTGGCTTGGGCATCCAGAACACGCAGATGTACGAGGCGGTGGAGCGGGCCATGGCCCAGCAGATGGTCACGTTGGAGGTGGGCCAGAGCGCAAGCCGCCGCTCCACACCGGTCCTCGGCCTCCGTGGAAGCCAGGGAGACCCACGCAGAGCTTTCCAGGACCCTGTGAGGTCCTGTGGCTGCTTCTGCTGGGACACCCTGGCTTTTCTGCAGAGCTCTCTCGGGATATGGCCGTCAACACAGGGTCTGCCACCATGGCCTGCCCCCTGCCCAGAGCTGAGCCCCCTCCCTCCGTGGGGATATGCACAAAAGCAGTATTTAAAAACCCAAACAGCAAAACTCCAAAGCACGCTTGAGCATTCAAATGAGGGAAGGAAGTCGGGGGAAAGAGGAGTGTCGGTCCCCAGGTAGACTGTGGGCCCCGCCCTCCACACTCGGATCCCGCACGTGGCTGGGGGCTGGGGACGTGGCCTCCTCAGAACAGAACCTCCACGTCGTCACTTTAAAAACTCTGATAGATGTTTTAAGTAAAATCAGTCCCTTGGTGGAAAAGGAGCTAGGGGTCTTGCGGTCAGTAGGAAGGAGTGAGCCTGGCTGTCACCGTCCCAGGGGACACTGAGGGGGTGGGCGAGAGCCAGCTCCAGGCCCTCATTCTCCCTCTGGCTGAGGCCCTCAGGAGCGTCTGGGCGCCATGTCTGGGCTGCTGTGCCAGCCCTGTCCCCTGGGTGTGCTGAGTGAGCTGCAGGGACCCTGCAGTCTACATGCGGCCTTGCCCTGTGAAGTCTGCTCTTCCACTCCAAGACCTGTTCCTCCCAAATTCAGCTTCAAGGTGTCAGCTTATGCAATCTTTTCCCTTAATTTCTGTACAGAAGCAAAAATAACTGGAGTCAGTGTTTGCCCAGGTCAGCTTCCTGTTTCCCGAGGGGAGCCTCAGAGCCCCAGCTGTGGTTCTCCCTCTGTACCGAGGGCAGCCGCTGGGGTCTGCTGCTCCCAGGGGCCAGGTCACCTCCCGAGAGGCCCAGCAGGTCAGCTGACAACTGTCCTGCCGTCTCCTGCCTGCCTGACGCCGCCCTCCTCCCTGCAGGTCCTGTCCTACCATGCCTCGGCGGCTGAGGAGGAGACCAGGGAGCTGCAGGCCCTGGCGGTAAGCCCTTCCTCCTTTCCCAGGCCCTGCCCGCAGCGCACCCCGGTGCCCACGTGCTCCTCCCGGGACAGCTGCCCGCGCAGCTCCCGGACTCCGACCCTGAGCTGAGCCGACTGGGCACCCGCTGGACCTTCCTCAGCTCTGCTTTCTCCCGGGCAGAGTCACCGATCTCAGCGCAGCCATAGGACGGCTGGCTTGGTGGCACTCGTGACTCTGGGCTTCCAGCCCTGGCTTCAGTCTTCCATCCTGCTTAGGCCAAGGCCCAGCTCCGTCTTGTTGTGGGGCCTTCATGTGACAGGCTCAGTGACACGAGGCTTTCACAGTCTGCCGTGTGGCTTCCGCTTCTGACCCCGCGGCTGGGCCTGCTGTGTGGGAAACATCCACACAGGCCAGTGCGCTGAGCCCAGGGGGAGACGAGCACGGACACCCTCGGGGCACGCCCTGCGCTCTGCCCGACTCGGCATGGCCTTGGTGGGGACCTGGAAGTCTGCCCACTCAGCCCCTGATGTTAAGTCCGTGCACATGACAGAGAGGTGTGACGAGCTGCCTAGGAATGGCCAGGGAGCAGCATCACCACGGGCTGGGCCTTCTGCCCGGCTTCTCTTGGTAATGCACAGCTGGGCTGTGAGGGCCCCTGGAGCCAGGGGAGCAGGAGACTGGCGCTAGGCCACACTGCGTGAGGGAGAGCGGGGACTGCAGCCCACTGGCACAGCACCCCGCGTTGGCAGGCAGGAGGCAGTGGCACTTGCAGGTTGGGCACCCCGTGAGTGGGAGCGAGTGGCCAGGAGCAGTACCAGAGGCTCAGCTGACTTCTCTGGAAGGAGGGCATCTTGGGCCTGGTTCTGGGTGGCACTGGCCCTGTATTGTGGGTGCCCTGTTAGCATTGGACTTAGTGGGCAGTTTTCCCCTGCTTGCAAGGCATGTGGTCTGGAGGTCACTGCCCACTGGCAGTGCCCAGCTGGCTGGGCTGCTTGCGTCCTCCTTCTCCAGTGTGGGCCGTGGGCTGGGACTGCCCCTTGGGAGGACACAGCAGGGTGCTGGTCCCAGGCTACTGGTTAGCAGAACTAGGGAGGCCAAGTCACTCTGCCACCGTGTCCCGATAAATAAGAACCAGCAAGTGGAGGAATTTATAAAGATAACGTTAAAAAAGTGAGCCCCCAGCATACCAAACTCTGCCTTTCACTTCGAAAGTAGGACTGTCTTTCAAAAGAATCTGAAAACCATTTTCTCAATTATGTTTATAATTTTAGCAAGAGAGAAAACACTCTGGAATAGCTGGAAATTGCTGTATTGTGTATTGTTCCAAGCCATCTGTTGTTCCATTGGGAAGGTGGCTTCTGGCAGCTGCAGCTGGGACCTCAGGGTCACAGCACTTGCAGGGCAAGCAATTCATTGAAACCCACTGAAATTCAGCAACTGGCTTCCACTCGGCTGTCACTCCCTGCGTGAAACTCCTCTGCAGCCCGACCTCACAGGTGTCTGCCCCCCACATCAATTGCCAAAATTGCTGTCTCCATGACATCATTGGTCTCACTTTAAAACCCAAAAGCAATCGAAAGGCCCTCAAGTTTCCTTCACTTTTATTTTTGGAAATTTATTCTCAGGAGAATCAAACAATGTGCTGAGATATACTGCATGTTTATGCCTGTGTACAGAAAGTTCTCAAGTTAGGGTGAGGGACTTAGTTGACAGGATTTTCCTTGCTGTGCCTGAGTCTTCAATCCCGTTTCGAACACCTTCTCTTGGCTTAGAGGTGGGTATAGGGAAGCAGTGCTCCAAGCCCAGCATTCTGATGGGCCTTGGAAAGATCCTTAGGCCCAGCGCTTGAGGTCACAGGAGGAACCCTGCTGGCTTCTTTGGTTACGAGAGAGTAAATTAGGACGCTGGGAGGAAACAAAATCTTACTTGTTGTCCAGCCTTCGGGCAGCGTGGGCTGACCAGGGCCTGCCTTCTCTGTGATGGCCCTGGTTGGAGAGGCGGTAGGGGAATCGGTCAAGGACAGCCAGGCCTGGGATCCTCCTGGAGGGGCACTTGTGCTTCAGGCCACAACTTCACGGGGGTCTCTGCAGCCACTAGAGGTGTGTCCAGAGGGAGACGGAGCTGGGGTCCTGAGAGGCCTGCTGTGCCCGAGGGCAAGAAGAGGACAAGTGGGACTGGAGGCAGGAGTCCAGAGAGGTCTGCCTCCTGACCTCCACCTTCCAGGCAGGTAGCACTGGTTCATCATGATCTGAGTTCCCAATAGCTGCTGGTGACAGTGTCGAGGTGGACCAGGGTGGTCCAGGGCAATGGCTGAGCCAGTGCTGGTGGGCAGGTCAGGAGCTTTGTCCCCTGCTTTCAGAAAACCCTCTCTGGGGAGCTAGGCTACACCAAGAAGGTTTGAGCAGGTGACTTACGAGGACCTGCACCTGTAGCACCTCTGTCACTGCCAGTCACCTGATGGGCTCATCTTGGAAGTCAGTGACAGTGCCTGGCTCCTTCCGACTCAGCTGCAAGGATCCAGAGCTCCCTTGGCTGCTCCTGCTTCGATGGGCATGCTCACCTTAGCCACTAGTGGTGTTAGGAGCAGATGACTTCCTGCAGGAGGTTCAGAGGCAGCTTTGAGCCCTTCCTGGGCACTGTGCATGGCTGTGCAAGTCCTGTACTCAGGTAGGTCCATGTACGGAGCTGCACTGTGGCCCAGGTGTGAACCAGGTCTGGGTTCCAGGTCCTGAGCCCTGTACATGGCTGTGCATGGTCCAGTTCTCCTGTGGGGTCTGTGTATGGAGCTACACTGTGGCCCAGGTGTGAACCAGGTCTGGGTTCCAGGTCCTGAGCCCTGTGTATGGCTGTGCATGGTCCAGTTCTCCTGTGGGGTCTGTGTTTGGAGATATGCTGTGGTCTAGGTGTGAACCAGGTCTGGGTTCCAGGTCCTGAGCCCTGTGTATGGCTGTGCACGGTCCAGTTCTCCTGTGGGGTCTGTGTATGGAGCTACGCTGTGGCCTAGGTGTGAACCAGGTCTGGGTTCCAGGTCCTGAGCCCTGTGTATGGCTGTGCATGGTCCAGTTCTCCTGTGGGGTCTGTGTTTGGAGATATGCTGTGGCCTAGGTGTGAACCAGGTCTGGATTCCAGGTCCTGAGCCCTGTGTATGGCTGTGCATGGTCCTGTTCTCCTGTGGGGTCTGTGTTTGGAGATATGCTGTGGTCTAGGTGTGAACCAGGTCTGGATTCCAGGTCCTGAGCCCTGTGCATGGCTGTGCGTGGTCCAGTTCTCCTGTGGGGTCTGTGTATGGAGCTACACTGTGGCCTAGGTGTGAACCAACCCTGGGTTTCGGGTCCTGAGCCCTGTGTATGGCTGTGCAAGTCCTGTTCTCCTGTGGGGTCCGTGTATGGAGATATGCTGTGGCCTAGGTGTGAACCAGGCCTGGGTTCCGGGTCCTGAGCCCTATGAACGGCTGTGCATGGTCCAGTTCTCATGTGGGGTGTGTGTATGGAGCTACACTGTGGTCTACGTGTGAACCACATCTGGGTTCCAGGTCCTGAGCCCTGTGTATGGCTGTGCATGGTCCTGTTCTCCTGTGGGGTCTATGTGTCTAGCTATGCTGTGGCCTATGTATGAACCTGGTCTGAGTCCAGGTCATAGCCCTGTACATGGCTGTGCATGGTCCTGTTCTCCTGTGGGGTCTGTGTATGGAGATATGCTGGGGCCTAGGTATGAACCAGGCCTGGGTTCCAGGTCCTGAGCCCTGTGCATGGCTGTGCATGGTTCAGTTCTCCTGTGGGGTCTGTGTATGGAGCTACACTGTGGCCTAGGTGTGAACCAGGTCTGGGTTCCAGGTCCCGAGCCCTGTGTATGGCTGTGCATGGTCCAGTTCTCCTGTGGGGTGTGTGTATGGAGCTACGCTGTGGCCTAGGTGTGAACCAGGTCTGGGTTCCAGGTCCTGAGCCCTGTGCATGGCTGTGCATGTTCCAGTTCTCCTGTGGGGTCTGTGTATGGAGATATGCTGTGGCCTAGGTGTGAACTAGGTCTGGGTTCCAGGTCCTGCGCCCTGTGCATGGCTGTGCGTGGTCCTGTTCTCCTGTGGGGTCTGTGTATGGAGATATGCTGTGGTCTACGTGTGAACCAGGTCTGGGTTCCAGGTCCTGAGCCCTGTGTATGGCTGTGCATGGTCCTGTTCTCCTGTAGGGTCTATGTATGGAGATATGCTGTGGCCTATGTGTGAACCAGGTCTGGGTTCCAGGTCCTGAGCCCTGTGTATGGCTGTGCATGGTCCAGTTCTCCTGTGGGGTGTGTGTATGGAGCTACACTGTGTACTAGGTGTGAACCAGGTCTGGGTTCCAGGTCCTGAGCCCTGTACGTGGCTGTGCATGGTCCAGTTCTCCTGTGGGGTCTGTGTATGGAGATATGCTGTTGCCTAGGTGTGAAACAGGTCTGGGTTCCAGGTCCTGAGCCATGTGCATGCCGGTGCATGGTCTAGTTCTCCTGTGGGGTGTGTGTATGGAGCTACGCTGTGGTCTAGGTGTGAACCAGGTCTGGGTCCAGGTCCTGAGCCCTGTGCATGGCTGTGCATGGTCCAGTTCTCCTGTGGGGTCTGTGTATGGAGATATGCTGTGGTCTAGGTGTGAAACAGGTCTGGGTTCCAGGTCCTGAGCCCTGTTCATGACTGTGAAAGTCCTGTTCTCCTGTGGGGTCCATGTATGGAGCTACATGTGGTCTAGATGTGAACCAGGTCTGGGTTCCAGGTCCTGAGCCCTGTGTATGGCTGTGCATGGTCCAGTTCTCCTGTGGGGTCTGTGTATGGAGCTACGCTGTGGCCTAGGTGTGAACCAGGTCTGGGTTCCAGGTCCTGAGCCCTGTGTATGGCTGTGCATGGTCCTGTTCTCCTGTGGGGTCCATGTATGGAGCTGTGCTGTGGTCTAGGTGTGAACCAGGTCTGGGTTCCAGGTCCTGAGCCATGTGCATGCCTGTGCATGGTCCAGTTCTCCTGTGGGGTGTGTGTATGGAGCTACACTGTGGTCTAGGTGTGAACCAGGCCTGGGTTCCAGGTCCTGAGCCCTGTACGTGGCTGTGCATGGTTCAGTTCTCCTGTGG